CTCCCCTTCTTTGCAAAATAAACCTGCCATATTGCTAAACAATCATAGGAGTCTAACAGACTTGGTGAGTGAAAACACTTAAACTCAGTGAACTTGTAAGGGATGGAATATGACAAGCAAATATTAACATCCCAATGGTTAATGCAAGGAAATTAACTAAAAAAGTTTATTTACCTGGGAGAGGCCTTTCAGTATTGAACCATTATTTGGGATTGCAAACCAGTACATACTTGGATCAATCAATTGGCAAGTCTGAAAGGAAAAATGTCATATTAGAACAGGAACGGACTCAAGGGGAAATCAAACATGTTTAATACAACTATGCAATAAGAGGAAAAAGGACAAAAGAAAAAAAAATAGAGGGAAATGGATGCATAAGTACCATATAGTGGAAAAATTAAAAGGACTCCCCCCCCCCCCCCCCCCCCCAATACGCATTCAACTCAATACCAATATAAAATAAGCCAAAAGCATTTTCATGTGAACAGACACATATGTTAACACTAGTGTATTACAATAAACCTGTCCAGATGGCGCTCATAATATAGGATGTAGTTCGTTTTTATGATATACCACAGCAAAATAGTCACATAATATACAGTATCCAATAATTGAATTTCAACAAAACAATGTGACAGATTCACCAGAAGCAAAGTTCACTTACAAGAAGGCCAGCATTGATTAGGAGGGCTATGTGTTCATCTTTCATCCTTCCCCTAGTGATAAGAGTCAACACTGCAGCAAAGATAAACAACCATGACATTATAAAGACAAGCATGCATGCACATGCAAATGGTAATCCAAACTGATTAAGATAACATTCCGCAAAGAAAATTATTAAAATATAAGTAGAAAGAACATAAATCCTGATCACAAAATGTCTGAAGTCATCATATTTAGCCCACAGTCATATATACACATAAATATAGGAGTCTACCACTATATAAACAATTTGATAACCAGTAAAACTCAAATTATTTTGAAATTTTCACATCACAATGAGTTGATAAGTATGTCATGCACAACAAATGCACACTGCACTACAACTAAAATAACTAAAACATCAGCACCCAAAAATAACAATAGTAATATTTGTAATAACAACAACACATGATATTCAACATCAAAAACAAATTTCAGAATGCTCCTAAAATTTGAGATTACCAGGTTAAGAAAATGGTCTGAGCAACTTGAAATGCAACACGAGTAACCAATTTTTCTGTAAAGGACATCGACAGATTAAATATGCAAAAGCCTTTTGGCATTTCAAACCTCCAAGTAAAAGTTAGGCTTAAGAGATTAAAATTAGGTGCTAAAGTAGCATCATAAAGGAAATCAGGATTACCCAAACCTATGCCCTTTGCAATAAATGAGGATTCCTCTACCCAATCCAAGAAAAAGATATGTTGGACGGCCTGTTCTGTGTGCCAACATTTAATACAGTTTGAGACCAAAGAGAAAAAGAAAGCTGGAGATCCAAACTAAACATTAAACAGACTTGTAATGGCTAGGATCTTTTAAATTTTTTAAATAATTTTGACTACAAGATCAAAGGTTCCTCAAAGGAACTTTCAATAAAATTCCTTATAAAGGGGGAAAAACTAGGCGGACCACAAATGCATTAAAAGGAAATGCATGGTAAACAGAAAGAAGCAATCAGAAATACAAACACAGATACATAGAAAAAATGTTCACACAATCACTCAAAATTGTACTCACAGAATGCAGTCGATGACTTAGGGTTCTAATAAACACAAAGTTATATCTATCTCAAGCATAGTTATAAGAAAATAAACAATATAGTTAATTGGTGTTTGGATCACTCACAAGTTCTTGATGTTCAATGCTAGGTTCCAGCTTGGATTCAAGAACATGCACTTCAAACCACTTAAAAACTTCAAGATCACCTTGTTTCCTTTCTTCCATTCTTTTGACAACATGTTCTATCTGTATAAATGTTATGGACAGAGAAAATATGCCAAAAGGTAGCGTGCATAGTTAGCTTTGCAAGAAAACAAGCATTCCTCACCAAGAATACCAACCATCATAAATCCTAATATCTCAATCAGAGCCAGCCCAGATTATATGTAACAGGCCCTCACTTTGAACTAATTGACATTAAAGTTGCAAACTAAACATGACATCATCAATGAATTTACAAACATCAATAAACCAACCTGTTTTAGATAATTTTCTAAAAACATTATACCATGATCATCTTCCCTGGTATTTAGTTTGAAAATGCGAACTACTTTCTCCCTAAACATTAACCTGTATATGAAAATGCACACTACTTACTCCCTTCTTAGAGACTGCAGAAAAGAGAATATATTATAGAAACCACATGGGACTAACTGAAACAATAACCTATATATGAAAATGCACACTACTTTCTCCCTCCTTAGAGACTGCAGAAAAGAGAACATATTGTAGAAACAACATGGGACTAAGTGAAAAAGTTACCCCATATATGAATGCAGGAGAGAAAGTTACAAGAAGTATTACAATCAAAGAAACTCTTAACAAACAAGAATATTTACATGCTCACTTCACAAGAACCAGGCACTCACTGACCACATAGAATCTTTCCTTATCGTGTTTCAGTAACAAACCATGTCCCAAATATCTATTTTAGCAGAAGCCACATGATCTATTAGTCATAAAACATACATGTCTAGTTAAAATCTGCAAAATGCACATGGATCTAATTTGAAATCAGAATGTGGGTGACTCCTTCTCCTGGAAACCACAAGATGCCTTAGAGAAATACATAAAGTGCAGAAAATCTAAATACAATATATATCTCATAGAATAAAGTCCTAAAACATGGATAAATTTTGAGGCTTCAGCATAAAATGTGCAACAATAACACATAAAAAACGCAACTAATCAAAATAACTTGCATAACATTTACTTCAAATTGCAACAGCATTTAAACCCAAAAAAAAAAAAAATCTTCATGGTACTCTCCATATTCAATTAATAAACACATTTTTGGCCAAACTTAAAATTGAACCATAGTTCAGGAACAATTTTGCATCCAAGCAATATTCTAAATTTGAAGGTTAAGGAACCAAACCTCTAGCTCCCTATCCACTTGAGTTCTATCCTTTACACTGCTATACAGTCGTGACTATAAAATGAAAGGTTGAATTACAACCTTTAAACAGAATCAAATCAAATGAAAGAATTTTAGCTCTATAGCTTTAAACAAAAGTTGACAACAAAATTGAAAAAAATTAAAATTACAATTGAAAATTGCTAAATAAATCATTTTTAGAAGAAAAAGTGGAAATTTAAGGAGAAACAGAGAGCTAATCTTATCAATTTGAGGAAACTGAACTCCCATAATACGAAGCGCCACCAAAGTGTCGCTAAAGCTAAGATTTTTCTCTGCGAAAATAGACAGTAGTGATGATAAGCAGTCGCTAAAATAGTAAAGGAAAAATTATACTATTCTTGTTTGAAGCGTTGATTTTTATACCTAGGGAAAGAGAATGATCAGCATCGCTATTTTCCGCCTCGATCTCTTCTTCTGCTTCTTCTCTTCTGCGTTTTTTCCCTTTCTTCATCTTTAATCGAAGCTTTCGAAGAACAACCCCTAGAGAGGAAAAAAAAACCCTAAATTAATTTGGTACCCTAAATCAACGGGAATTCGAACGTTGGCGCCGCGCCCGCCCCTCGCTTTTGGAAATTTCGGTTTGGTGATGTGTATTTATATATTTGCAATAATGATGAAAATAAATCGCTTTCATATTTTAAAATTTTAAAACATTTTTCTTTTAGAATACCGTAAATCACTTGCATTTTTTAGATCAGTAAGCTAATTCTTTAATAATGAAACCGATCGACGAGAGGCCTTCGAACCGGTCGCTCTTCTAACCGATCGGGTGCAATTTTCCTTCTTTTGCCTTGTTTCTTTGTTTAAGAAAAAAAGCAAAATATAATTATTTCCCTGGTTAAAATGTTTTCGGAGTTTTGTTTTTAAATGTTTATAAATGCATATTGCCTATTGGTTCAACTGATAAAATTTTTGATTTTTTTAAAAATAAAATTTTAATTTTGAATCTTATAAATAAAAAAAATAAATTTTAAAAAATTTATCTATTTTATAAGATTTGATCCGATTCAATTTTAAGTTAATCTAAATTAAAAAAAATTACAAAATAATAAAAGATCTTAGCCAAAACAAAAAATTCTGTTCTTTCTATTAAAAAGAAAAAAAGGCAGATAATGTTCAGAATAGGAATGAAATATTTTAATGAGATGCGAGAGAAAGAGAGATCTTCTCTTCTAAAATTTGTGTAAATTTTTTTTTCTGAAATTTTATTATTAAAAAATCTAAGAAAATAATTTTAAAAAATACCTAAAAAAAAGGAAAAAGACATTTATGAAGGGATAAAATATGGGTTAAAAGTTTGACAAGAAGCAAAATATTTTTTTAAATTGAAAAATAATAGTCATTTTCATTATTATATTTTTCAACGGGAGTTTCATTCACATTTTCGTTTAAAAAAAATTTATAACCACAGTTTTTTTATAAAATATTTTATACTATTATAAATTGATAATGATTAATCTTTATTAGTTTAAAATAATCATGACTAAATATCCAAACATTTAATCTTTAATTTGAATATTTAACCGATTTTCGACGCTATATTCTTTTCTCTTTTGTTAATTTTTACTAATTTATTTTGGTTAAATTCTTAGACTGTAAGATACTTAACTCTTTCGTAAGTTTAGAATTCTTTCGTTCGGTTGCCTTAGTGCTTCTACGCTATTGTGAAAAAGGATGTTACAATTTAAATTTTTAATAAAAATTAAATTTTTAACAAATCAAATTTTAGTAAAAATTATACAAAACAAAAACAAAAAGTATATATTTCACATGTTAACGCAAATTGTAATATTAATTTTTATATTTTACGCTTATTGGAATAAAAATAAAAACATTCATAAATACAAAAATGATCAAATTTAAAACAATTCTTGAAAATGATTTTTTAATCAAAAGCCATATTTTCTTAACGGTGATGCTACCAAATAAAACGTCATTGATGCTTTAAACATCAGCATATTTTTTTTCATTGAAGTAACACTAATTGCTAAGATTCATAACAGATGATGTCAAAATGAGCCTACAAAATTGAGTTAAAATGTCTGAGATAAATATGCTATTGAAAGAGAAGACTCTTTTCATTTTTCTTCATTCATTCATCTCTCAGGTAGATTTCAACTTGGCTGATGTTGCAGCCAGATGGGAAAGGATTCTATGCCCGACGAACACAAGGAAAACTCCCAAGAAACCAAGTAGTTTCAGTGTTTGGAATAAATCCAACTGCAACCAGAAGATAAATAGAAAGTTCATGACAGAATAAATATATAAAAAATGGCTACTTTATTAAACTCGTAATAATAGCAATACTAACCTTCAACCAGAAAAGCACATAAAGCAACAGAACTGCTCCAATGCCAACATGGAACAGAATGGCAAACGTGGCAGGTAGTGCTTTGGTAGGAAAGTTCTTCAGGTTCACCCCTAAACGTAATAGCTGTCACAGCAAACAAAATTCACCTGGTAACGATCAAAAAACTTCGAAAGTAGGTGCGTGGCTGCATGAACTAAATAGAAACAGATGAAAACTACGCCTTCAAAATTGCAGTCATTGATACCTAACAGCAAGACTGCAAGTTGAAATGCCAGACTTCAATCTCCTACTGAGATCACTTAACAAGCTCCAAGAATGCCATTGAACCTAAAAGTTTTTTTTTTTTTTTTCTTTTCAAGGCCAGAGACCAAAGAGCTCAATAGCACCAAAACCTCACGTTAAGGACTTCTGTTTTCCAGCCTAATAAATCCTTGTTTCTAGGCTATGAAGCACCCAATGACTCCCCCCAAGAAAAATTCTATGAAGCAACCACATGCAACACGCCACAAACACAAAGAAATGAATGAGGAATTATGAGAATAGGGTCCAGAAAAAATATTGATTCAAGCCACAAACTAAAATATCAAACAAATTTAGGGTAAGACCAGTCTTGAGTTTCTAACCAGAAACCAAGATGATATCAAACAATTTGATAAACTAAATAAATTAGAAATTCAGATACCAGTAACTTTCTGGTTGAATGAAATTATAAAAAGCAGCAGCACACAGAAGACTCACCCCAATCAAGAATCCAAGTAATGGCAAGATGGTAACACCCAGGAAAGCAAGAGAAAGCTCCTTCGGTGGACGCTTTTCAGGAGCCCTGAAGATGTGTGTTATCTCTGCTTTGGGCCCATATCTTGAGTAAGGATCAATGGGCTGCGGAGGAGGGCGGGGTGCCTTCTCAGGTGGTTCTGGTAGATCTAATTCAACATATCCAATAGCTCGTAATAAAGAGTTCTCCTGAAAAAGAATATTATTCAACATATTTGTGGACTTGTACAAATAGAAAATTTTCTAATAGCAGAAGACGCTTACCATAACAGCATCACCAACAGTGAGTTCTATGTCATATCTACCTGAGAGATAGAAGAACTTCTCAACGAGCCCAAGAAAATTCTGCAAGACAAGCCATATAGAATTAATATCAAATAATAATAATAATAATAATCTACAAAGTACATAAAACTGAATAGTTTTCATCCGAATATTAGTGCCAAACCTTAAAACACATGCAGTACAAGCTAACAATAGTATAATGCTATAGATGTTTTCCCAATGAAAAGAGACATTATTATGTGCCATAGGAAATAAAAGAAATCTCAAATGATACTAAATACTGATAATATTTTACTGTGTCATAGACCCCGAAAAGATACTCAACCTATGAAAGAAAAGATACTTAACTAGAACTAGCTCATACTGTTTTCCAGAGTTTCCAACCACAAAGATGTGTTCAACGTTGCTTTCATGCCTCAACTTGAGCAATGCCTGCAAGCCACCAAACTTAGCAAAAAACTGCTGCAAAGTATACCATTCATTCAAAATGAAAACAAGTAGAAGTCGAACCTGATGTGGCTTAAAAGCATGTCCGTGAGGACTTGTAAACTGAAAGGATAGACGCAGCTTCTGTAGGTGGTTTGCTGATAATGATACAGCATTTTGTCCAGCTAAATCTAGCCTATATATATATATAGGATGAAAGACCATGAATAAAAAACAGGCTAGAGTTCAGTTGAAAGAAAAATCAAACACACTAGGCACTAACTTTTAAAACTGTCATCATCAGATGCTATTATATAGGCACCCAAGACAATCATCAATTATATCAATTATAGGTATTACAAAAACCAACAAAATAAAACCAAAAGAAATAGACAACATACTTTTTCTGCGTCTCTATGCTCCCAAGATCACTGTCAAGTACTGTAATTTCTGCATTTTCAATTTTGACAAGTCCTGTGACAAATATTGGTACTTCTGTTTGGCTTCCAGTAACATAAACCTTTTTATGCTCAGGGTCATGAAACACAATCTACAAAAATTCAAATTTAATATGTAATGGAAAGCCAGATGAACATAAAGCTTCAATCCAAGAATAGATTACAACAACAATACCTTAAAAACAAATTTGTAACTTCCAACATCAATACTCTTTGGTAAGCTGTTCAAGATATGTATCCCAGTTCCAGCATCAAACTTAAGTTCCTGAACTTCATAATATTTATAAACATTGAATCAAATTAAACAAAATACAAAAATGCAAAAGTAAAACTCGTAGGCAGCTGAAATTACTTCCAACAAAATGGACACTACTTGAGGGAACAACAGACCTGGCTTTCAATTAGAGATGCATCCTTTGAATCAGAACTAAAAGCTCCCACAAGTTTTACTGTTAGAGGTGGTGCATTTGAACCAAGCACAGTGTTAACTCTAACCTGTTATATTCAAAGAGTTGGAGTAAAAGTCAGTAATAACAAAACCCTAATAACCAGAGTCTGAAATCTAGTATAAATCAAGGAGGCTTAAATATGCAAGTAAAAATGAATATGGGGATGAAATGCAAGTCAATGCACCACCAATATGCATCATGAATTGGATTCAGTTGAATGAGACTTGAAAAAAGATTCCTTTTTGATAAAAAAAATAAAAATAAAAGCAGAACAGGGGTCAGCATACACTACGTCAAATGACAGAAATATCTTCATGAAGATGTAAAACTACTGGGTACTTATGAAGCAAAATGGAAATGCCACTAATATTAATTCCATCAATACTTGGTTATTAAGTTTCTGCCACCTTAAAGGAATTTAAGTCACTACTTATTCATGTCAAGGATTTTAACTTTGGACAAACCTGGAGTGAGTCTTTTTTAGTCAAGGAAAGCACTGTAGATGGAAGTGATAGGATCAGTGGGATGGAAAGCCTACATGACAATTGACATTTAAGATCTATTAAGCTCCAGTGCGTCATTATACAAACCAGTGAAAAAGGGTGAGATAGAAAACTAAAAATATATACTATATCTCAGAGTCTCAAAATATAAAAAGCAACGTCTCTGAGCCTCAAAAGACATAAAAGCAAGTAAGAAAACATATTCACAAACACCAAGCTCAATTCCAGAATTCCATAATAAAGCTAGAACTTCTGCAAATTACAGGTCTAGAGCTATACAAATAAGCATGTTCATAATTTCTTGCTTTCTTTCAAGGATCAACTAGAAACTGTACTATTCAAGAGTGACAAAAACTCAACAAAGGTTAACATATCACAATCATAACTAGAATGGTAGCAAAAAATATATCTAATATCATCAAATCACATTAAATAAATGCAAATGCATTAAAACTGCAAAAAGAAAAACCATGCCTGTTGCTTTCCAAACAGGCTAAGGAGTCTATTTGGTTGAAGAAATCTTTGGCATCGCCAGGAACTCCAATGCCAAGGAAGAATTTAGCCAATCCAAGTATTTTGTCCCCTGGAATCTGCAGAAATAAACTGGAAGTATTAGAGCACATTACAGGAAAAAAAAAAAAAAGGGACAAATGGGCCAAAAATGCTTGATGAGTGAGCTCTCCCTACGGACATTGAGACTGCCAGCAGTGACTGCTGCAAATGCTGTGAGCCCTCTAACAACAGATGAGGTGGTTGATAAAGGACCTTGATGTTCACGACCATCAACAAGTTTATCATCAAAGTAAAGGGCCCCATCATCTGAAAAAAGAGATAACTTAATAAAAAGAGAATGAGAAAAATTCAAACTGAATAGGGTTAAAATTAGTAAAATAATTAGTAAACTATTTATCTTTTTTTATTGAGAGAAGGTGAATGGAATTAGAAAGGGAAAAAAGATATTGAAGAAAAATAGAAAAAAATATATGTAGAAAGAATTAGAAAAAAAGGAGAAAATATACATACCGTATTTCTCAATACTGTCAAAAAGCTTGCTTATATCATTCTTTAGTGTACTAATCTGCCAACATTAAGCAAACATATATTATGGAAGGCACAAACTAACAATAAAAATGGTTGACACACACAGATAAGAAGAAACAAAAATAAGCATGAATATGAAAGTAAAACTAGCTCACTGTAGCAGAGACAATTCAAATCAAACAACACCATCATATGACTGAATGAAGTAATAAAAGGAAAGCATTTAAAAATTCATAGAAATGTTAATTATTATGAACTCATTTGATGAGTTGCGTTATTTGCAGACCCAAAAAAATCCCTCTGCGGCTTGATATGGTTAACAGAATTTAATCAGATGGCCTAGAGTTTTAATAAAGCCCTCATCAGCACAGAAAGTGGTAATTCTATGCCTACAAGAAGGATAATCCACTTTTCCCTTACAAGAGTTCTAAATTAGCCCTCATCACCACATGTTGAATGATCAATAATACACTTTTCCTCAACACAATAATTTAATAATTAAATTAACAGCTAAAAGAATTGGATATCTGGTAAGATACCAATCCTAACTTATATTGCTTTAAAAATGAATAAAGATCCAAATCTATGAGCTAGATATCCCACATGATATGGCTAGAAAATGAAGTAAACCATTTAAATATATACATATATATAGGACAAGAAAATAATCAATCCAGAAGCCGCAAAACCTATACAGCTAAAAATCTGCAGTTGCCTACAAAAATGAGACAAATGAATATTAATGGGAGAACATCTTATCATCCATTTAAAGCTGATTAATCATTTAGATTCATAAACGGGTCAAAACTTGTACCAGATCAAAGCAAGCAACATGTAATACTTACCAAAGATTGGTCAAGTTCTGAAGATGCTAATGAAACAATTCCAGAAAGTGTTTCAAGTGCTATTCCTGCAAGAATATGACAAACCTAAAAGAATAACTATCTCCCAACTGAATTGAACAATTAATAAATGGGAAGAAGAAGACAAGCAACATTTATCGTAGAGCTAACATCACTGCTAGAACAAAAGAGCTAAATGGTGGTTGTCTTGGACATTCTCTTTGAAAAACAAATTTTATAATCTAGATAAATTTTACCAGCAGCAAAGGCACTAGACTCGGGATTATTCGAACTAAAACGCCACCTTCCATCACTCTGGCTGAAAGCCTGAAAAAATTTTGTAACATAAAATCAACCATTCATGACAAATATATGTTGCAACTCAAATCAGGCCATAGAAGTTGGCTGAAGCGAAGAAGTTAATATCAGTTCAAGTAGTCAGCCTCCTCCACAAGCCCAAATCTCACCACATCAAAAACTAGTCCCACCAAAACAGTAGGCCTCAGCTGCCTGGATATCTAAAGAGGCTGAGCACCATATCTTAACCTCACCATAAAACTAAATCTAGTTATACCAACAAACCTTGACTGAGCGGAAAACTCCCTCAGCATCAGCAAGATGAACGTCAGCTTTGGAATTCTGATCCTGCATTGACAAACAATGAGTTAGAAAGTAGATGTAAATAAGAAACAACTTAAAAGCTATAGAACCAGTAGAAAAGAAACTAGGAAAATCAGGTCCCTTGATCAACATAACAAACTGAAGCAAATTTAGTGTGTATATAAATCATCCACAAACTCATAAAATTTATTAAATGGCATGCATAAAAATGAAGTGCATCATAATAACCAGTACCCTGCATTCATTCATTACCTTGATAAGTACCAAACCTCCAACCGAATAGTAGAAGTCAAGCAACGAACTTGCACCATTGATGGCAGCATTAAGTCTTGTAATAATGCCCTTTTGCAAAGGAAAAAAAAATTTTAATAGCAGGGATCAAAGTTAAAAGCTATTGAACCACATGTCAGAGTGCAAAACTCAAATAATACCAGAGAAGCTTTCTCGTTTATCTTGCATTCCGCTATGCTATTCGCTTTTAAAGCATAGAAAAGATTCTTTGGGGTTGAAGACGATAACCCAATGGTTTCCGAAATTGAACGGCAAGCCGCGGCGGTTACATCAGGCTTCTTTTCAATTCCAAGAATCTGAAATGTTCTTAGTGCCTCGTATGTTTCTTCCAAGCTGGTGAGATCAATTATACCAAATAAGATCCTAAAACCTCATTCACAAACATTTCTTTTCTAATTCCAATTTAAACAAAAAAAAACAAAGTGCTGAAATTAAAAAAAAAAAGTTTGAATATAACTAAGTTTGATGTTCAACGGTATTCATTCTCCATTTTCTCAATTTCTTTTCTCAAACAACCAAACTTAAAAAGAAATAAGTGGCGTAGCAAAAACGATTAGGGTTTGAGAAAACCTTTTGAAGGATCCATGATCAGAAGTGAAAAGCTCAAGAGCAGCAGATCGATGAGAATCGGAGATCGGTTGAAAAAGCGAACCAGCTTCGCAGATCGATACGAAGAGCAAGAGAACCAGAAATCCAACTAGACTTCTGGCCATTTCCTGCAATTTAAATTCCAACACATACTCAATCAGTCTACCGCCTCAAAAACTGAGGTTTGTTACTCGCAAAACAGGATTTGAAAATTAAAAAGAAATTAGAAATAATTTGGAAAACCTAGGATTTAGAAATATTTAGATCGCGAAAAAAAAAAAAAGGGAAAACGTACTATAAATGTGGAAGAAATTCGTCTGTGCTATTTTTTTTTGTCTCCTCAGTCTTTGCTGTGCTCAAAGGGATAGAGTGAGTTTCAACTTTCTGATTCGTCGTGGAAGTCAAGTAGGAAGAAAAACATAAATTACCCAATTTGTCCATGTTTTATATTGAATTTACTACTTTGTCCCACGGATATGTCCGACTGGGCCCGAAAGGTTGAGGTTCGGCTGAAATCGGGCCTTAAGTTTTGAAGAGTAACCCACCCACTCATAAGCATCAATTTGTAATATCCATACTTATTATAAAAACAATCCCTTGCCTCTATTTTACCATACACGTTTTCAATGTCTCTAAAAATTAAAAGGTTAAATTTAGACATAAACGATTGCTTTACAGCTGTTTTTGGTCTCCAACTTATTGTTTTAAGAACCAGTTTTATCTTTTTTTCTCTTATCATATTTTCAATAGTGTTTTTTTATATTCTATAATCTTTTTCCTTTTTTATCAGTGGTGTTGTCATTGCCTCTTCCACTATCATGGCTATCATTTGCCAACATTGGCTTTGCCTGAATTTTTTTCATTAGTGCTGAAAAAATTCAATAGTTTTGAAATATTAAACTCTAGTCAATGGGACAAAACCTAATTAATGATGTGGCTTCAAGGTTTAGGATCAAGAAAGAAAAGTCATAGAGAAAGTACAAGGATTTTAAAAGGTTCAAGTTTGGGATTTGAGAGAATTATACCTATAAAGTGATGCATGCAAGTGGTTGGCATTCAGACATTTTTTTTTCTTTCTTAATATTGATTTGCCAAGTTGAATTTTAATGTTGAAAAGTAAGTGATTTTGAAACCCTTCAATCTAAGAAGTTTAAAACCCTTCAATATATTTCCTTTAAACAGAAAAAATGGCGTCTATAAGCATGGCAACAATTTCTTTCAATTTTTAGAATTTTCATAATCTTTGAGCAAGAAGACAAAACCTATAATTTCTCTATAATTATTTCAACATTAACTTACTTTTTAATTAATTTTCACTTTTTTTTTGTTTTTAAATGAAACATGTCTCTTTTAATAGCTATTGCTTCAATCGAATAATCAAGTTTCACTACAACTAGTAAATTTTGAGCTACAAGTGAGTTTGACTTTGACCTTTTTTACTAATATTTTTAATTTTTTGTTAGCTTTTATTTTGTTAATTTATTGAATTTAATCTTGGAATTTATAGTTGTTAGCTATACGAGGAACTTGCTCGGTGAAGACCCTAAACTCACCCATGCCAAGGTACTTTTTTTCTAGTTCTCTTTTATTTTTTATATTTATAAAGTCAATTTAGAGAAAATTTGTCTTTTATAAATACCCATTTTCTAATTGTTAAAAAAGATTGCTTCTTTACAACTTTTTTTTTATGTTATTGCATTTTAGTTTTTCAAATAATAAGTAGAAAGGCAAATCTTAAAGCATCTTATATTGAAATTGATAAAGCATTTTACAAGAACAAAGGTAAAATAATGGACTGGTATATAAAAGTTTAGAGTATGAGTTTTGTTGATCAAGAAAAAGGTAGTGGATAGAATTGGTGACTTTGCATTATGAGTTTGTTGACTGGTAAGTGAAATCTTAAAGTATTACACCCATGCACTCACACATTTGATGGACTTCTTGCATTGTTTCCCTCATTTAAAATGTGCATTCCCCCCACTTTGTTTGCCAGCTAAGAATCTTGGATCGCATGGAAATTATAGGTATTCAAAACATATGTTACCTGAAGTAGCAAATAACAACTTCAGAAAGAGTGCACATGAATGTCTTAATTGATATGACAAAATTCATACTAGAATGCATCAGATAGTTGTAGACATAATCAAAATTATGTAACGGAACACAGTTACAATATCATGATCAATGCTTTAAATTTGATAATAGTGTAAGTAAGAAAAAAATCTTTTTTTTTGGCTGGGTTATGGCTACTAAGTGAGATAAACTATATTTACCTCTCAAAAAGTAACACAAAATTTGGTTATCATGATCTTTTAGAGCATGTGCAAATAATCATCTCTCAATATCAACTGTAGAAAAATTTTCCCATATAATTTACAGATTTAGTAAATCCAAATGATAAAGAAGAAGAGCAATTTGAAGATTTAGAAGTTGAGGGAGAAAAGTTTGAGGCAAAGTTGAAAGCTAACATGCTAGCTAATGCAGCAAAGAGTAGTTTTGAATAATCATTAGCAGCAAGGCATAGCTCAATCCTTAAAAAACCTAAAATAGAAATGCCTCCATAATTAGCAATGCACCATGTTATATCATAAGGTTCTTTTTAGTTTAGTTTATGTTTGATTGTGTTTAGTGTTATTGTTGTAAGGCTTATCATAACTAAGCCCAATTTTAACAACCAAGGCCTTTCTTTCTTTTAAAACGCTTATAAGTTTTCACCTTTTACTTTATCTAAGAAGTTTAGAAACCCTTAAATTTGAGATATTGAAATTTATATTTTTTAGGGATTTTCAAAGAATACAACAAGTTGAGCTAAGTAATAAGGTGCTTATTTTGGAATCTAACTTTAATCTTTTTATGGAAGCTATACTAAAAAAGAGGCCAAAAAAGTGTCAAATTCATTCTTAAATTTAGGATATTTTATTCTTTAATTGTTAGAGTTGTGATCAACAAATTGCTTTCTTGTAGATTAGATCAGTCTATAGAAAAAGCATCAAACTCTAGTATAGTAGAAATTATTTCTATCGATCTTAAATATTATAGCGATATGCCTTCTATATCACTTCAGGTCAGCTTACTAAATCTTTTTGTCCTCAAGTTATTATTGGACATTTTTAAATTATCACTTTAGAATGTGTTATTATTTTTGGTATCTCATACAATTATAGGATATTGATTAGACCAAGGTAAAAGATTTGTGTAAGATCGAAAGAATGGCAAAAATGAAGTTAATGAGCTTTAGTATGAGAGGTTTTGTTGTAAGTGAACTTTTTTCTTTTGTCATGTCTATTTGCAAACATGTATTTCTTTAAACTTTTAACTTTATTACATCAATTTTATAGGTACCTTTTGGTTTATTTATTGGATTTTTACCTTACCGCAACCTAACTACTAAATGAAAGTTGTTAACTTTTGAATCATTGTTGAGACAAAAGGGCTTAGACGCATCTATTTATAAGCAAAATTTAAGAGTCATTGGAAATTTTGATATGATGAGCAATAACTCTTATCTGGATTCAAACTTCGAGTTAGAAAATAACCAACAATTTTAAGGAAAACTTTCACCATATATGAAATTGAAAGATTTGTTGAGTATTGAAGCTTAAATTCTTGTTATCATTTGTTGGTTAGGTTTGAAGAAATTGAAAAATTTTTTTAATCATCTTCTTTATTTTCATTTTGTATATTGATATGGTTAATTTTTTGTAAAGAGTCAAAGTAAATATTCTAATGGCTAATAGAAAGTTCAAAAAAATTATAGTTTTTCTGAGGTCAAAAGAAAAGAAAAAGTTAATAAATAAGAAAAAAAAATCAGTTGTGGAAACTAGAGATCTATGAACCTATATTCTTCACTATCATTTATGGTTTTGGTTGCTCTTGCATTATGGATATTTAATATATGCATTTCAAAAACGTATGTAGCTTCCAAAAGCTTTTATGTGAATGCTAGAAGTTTGATGTTTTTAATCATTTTAAATTTATGAGGTTTTATAGAATTTTATAACATTTATGTGAGACAAACTATTATTGCTATTACAAGTGTCAGTTGCCCAAGAAAAAGTACTTGAAAAATATGAATAACGTGGGTACATGTATATAGGCTTGGCTACAAAATACAAGCGTGCTCGACAAATTAAAGGGTGAAAGGGTTCTATCACACAAATTTCAATTCTTACTATGCTAAATGATGGTAATGTATCTTTTAATAATATCAACTTTTTACATCGCCATACTTGCTTTAATGATAATTCTGATTCATAACTTCAATCAATGTATCTTTTTTGGTAGATATTACATATCCTAGTCCAAATCTTACTGGACATAACATAAAAGGACAAATATACATTGACAGGTAGCTTTATAATAGACAGGTATAGTCAAAACTAGCCTATACATGCTATCAACTTGTATATCTGTGAGGTATGCAGATTCAGAAATTATCACCATGATTCTCATCAATTTATACTTGAAATTTCATTTTTAATATAGTGTTTTCTATAGGAATTGTATCTTCTCCATCCTTGCATTGCTTTAGTAAATTTCTTATTGTGACTTTGGGTTAAATGTGGCTTATCATAATTTGTCAGTTTATAATTCTTCCACTGTGTATGAAATCACAAGGTGATAATATTGCTAATTGTAAATTTTTAGCTTGACGTCTTCTAAAATTTTTTTATATAAACATGAAATGTCCTTATAACCATTAATTAATATAGTTTATTTTCTACAATTCAATAAAAAGATGTAAAATAAAACATGGCTTTAAACTAATGTCTAATGTCTAATATCCAATTTTACAAAAAAACAAAAATGATAAGAGAGTCCCTTCCTATTGTAACTACACTTTAGTTTGTATTTATAAGAGAAAAAACATTTTAAAGCTTAGTTGCAATGATCTTTTGTATTTAGATTAATTTAATAAAAAATTATAAATATATATAGAAAAAGCCCTCGACATAACAAGGGCAGAAATCTAATTAATAAAATCTATAAAATTATTTTATATTTAATAAACTACCAGTATAACATCCATACAATAAATTTTGTAGAGAATGAAGGCTTGCGAGTGGTCCACATCATTAGCTTTTTTTTCTTTCCATTTTTCTCACTTTATCAACTTTTGTCTTTTTTTTTGTGATAAAGTTTTTTAGAGGGTTAAAGCCAATAAAAAAATATTTTTTTTTATCTTTTATGATATTTTTTATAATAAAAGTTAGTAAGAAATTGATTTCCCTATAGATTGATGACATAAATTGGTAAAAGATTGATTTGCATATATAAAAAAAGTCAATGAAGAAAATATGGATGTGATGAAAATTGGTAGAAAGTTGAAAAGAATTAGTAAATGAAAAATAAAGAAATCTAACAAAAGAATGGGTGAGTGAGAATGATGAAAAGAGCTGG